GGATTTTTGAGAAGATAAACAAAATAGATACACCATTAGCTAGATTAACAAAAAAAAAAAAAAAAAAAAAAAAAAAAAAAAAAAAGGGGGGCACACAAAAAAAAAAAAAAGAGAGGAGACCCAAATAACAAAAATCAGAAATGAAAAGGGAGACACTGCAACTGACACCACAGAAATACAAAAAATCATTAGAGACTATCATAAACAACTGTATGACGACAAATTTGAAAATCTAGAAGATATGGATAAGTTTTTAGACACATATAAATTACCAAGACTGAACCAAGAAGAGAGAGAAAAAGTGAACAGACTAATAACAAAGCAAGGAGGTTGAAGCGGTAATTAGTAATCTTCCAACAAAAAAAGCCCCAGGTCCGGATGGCTTTACAGCTAAATTCTCTCAAACTTTTAAAGAGGAGTTAATACCAATTCTCATGAAACTGTTCCAAACAATTGAAACAGATGCTACTCTCCCAAACTCATTCTATTATGAGGCCAACATAACTCTGATACCAAAACCAGATAAAAGCACAACAAAAGAAGAAAATTACAGGCCAATATCCTTGATGAACCTAGATGTTAAAACCATCAACAAAATATTAGCAATTAGAATACAGCAACATATTAAAAAAAATTATACACTATGATCAAGTGGGATTTATCCCAAGGATGCAAGGATGGTTGGACATACAAAAGTCAATAAATGTGATACATAACATCAAAAAGCTCAAGGGCAAAAACCATATGATTATCTCAACAGATGCTGAAAAAGCATTTGACAAAATTCAACATTCCTTCTTGATAAAGACTCTCAACAAATTAGGTATAGAAGAAAATATCTTAACACAATAAAAGCCATTTATGACAAGCAAACCGCCAGTATTAATCTGAATGGGGAAAAACTGAAGGCCTTCCCCTTAAGGACAGGAACAAGACAAGGATGTCCACTCTCACCACTTCTATTCAACATAGTACTAGAGGTACTAGCTAGAGCAACCAGGCAAGAGAAAGAAATAAAGAGAATCCAGATTGGAAAAGATGAAGTCAAATTTTCCCTATTTGCAGATGACATGATACTATATATAGAAAAACCTAAAGACTCTATCAAAAAACTCCTAGAGCTGGTTAATAACTTCAGCAACATTGCAGGATACAAAAGAAATGCTCCCAAATCAGTAGCATTTATATACTCAGATAATGAATTAACAGAAAGAGAAATAAAGAAAGTAAGCCCATTTACAATAGTCAGCAAAAAATATGATACCTAGGGATCAATTTAACCAAGGAGGTGAAAGACCTCTACAATGAGAATTAAAAACCACTTCTGAAAGAAATTAAAGACCATACAAAAGATGGAAAGATATTCCATGGTCCTGGATTGGAAGAATTAACATTGTAAAAATGTCTATAACTACCCAAAGCAATCTACAGATTCAATGCAATCCCCATCAAAATACCAATGACATTCTTCACAGAAATGGAAAAAACAATCTTACCTTTCATATGGAACAACAAAAGACCCCGAATAGCCAAAGCAATCCTGGGCAAAAAAAAACAAAGCTGGAGGCATAACTCTGCCTGACTTCAAATTATACTACAAAGCTGTTGTAACAAAAACAGCATGGTACTGGTATAAAAATACACATTCAGACCAGTGGAGTAGAATTAAGAACCCAGAAATCACTCCTCAGGCTTATATCCATCTGATATTAGACAAAGGCAACAAAAATCTACACTGGGGAAAAGATTGCCTCTTCAACAAGTGGTGCTGGAAAACTGGATATGTGTCTCTCACCATACACTAAAATCAACTCAAAATGAATTAAAGACCTAGGTATAAGACCCAAAACTATAAAATTACTAAGGGAAAATATAAGTGAAACACTTCAGCAGTTAAGTCAGGGCACAGGCTTTTATGAGCCCGAAAGCATAATCAGCAAAAGAAAAAATAAACAAATGGGACTATATCAAACTAAAAAGTTTCTGCACAGCAAAAGAAACAATCAACAGGGTGAAAAGACAACCTACAGAGTGGGAGAAAATTTCTGCCAACTATGCATCCGACAAGGGACTAATATCCGGAACATACATAGAACTCAAGCAATTATACAGTAAAAAAACAAATGACCCAATTAAAAAATGGATGAAGGAGTTGAATAGACATTTTTCAAAGGAAGACATGCAAATGGCCAACAGATACATGAAAAAATGCTCAACATCACTAGTCATCAGGGAAATGCAAATTAAAACCACACTGAGATACCACCTCACTCCAGTTAGACTGGCTATAATCAAAAAGATGGTGAATAACAAATTCTGGCAAGGGTGTGGAGAGAAGGGAACACTACTGCACTGTTGGTGGGAATGTGAATTAATACAAGCACTTTGGAAAAGAATCTGGAGGTTTCTCAAACAACTACAGCTAGATCTTCCATATGATCCAGCAATCCCTCTTCTGGGTATATACCCAGAGGAATGGAAATCATCATGTTGAAGAGATACCTGCACTCCCATGTTTATTGCAGCTCTGTTTACAATAGCCAAGATATGGAACCAACCTAAATGTCCATCAATAGATGACTACATAAGGAAACTGTGGTATATATACACTATGGAATACTACTCTGCCATAAAAAAGAATGAAATATTCCTGTTTGCAACAACATGAACGAACCTGGAGAAACTTATATTGAGTGAAACAAGCAAGGCACAGAGGGATAAATATCGCACGTGCTCACTCATATGTGGGAGCTAAGAGAGAAAGGAAGGCAGGAAAGAAAGACCACAGTAGTGCCGTGATCCACAGAGGGAGGGAACATTCCTAGGTCTACAAATTGGAGTTGAGGGGAGAGGGGGATTGGGAGGGAGGTTGGGGGATAACTGGGAGAGGATAAAGTGTACAAAAGTAATTTCTGGTAATGGATATGCCCCCAGTATGAATCTGGCCCCCACATCATGGGCAGGAGCGGGGACGATCAGCTCTGTATCTAATGAATATTCAAAATAATTAATTGATTGATTCATTAAAAATGTCCCCACACTTCTCAATGTATTTATTGTTTTCAACAAAAAGTAGACACTTTTCAACAAAAGACACTGATAAATATTTAAGGAAAAAAATGGCTAAATGACCAAAATTTCTTAACTTTTTAGAAAATTTCCAACTCTTTGATGAATTTTATTAGGCTCCAAATCCTTACATTCTCAACTGCCCACAATATATGGGCTCAAAGTAGATTATTCTAATAAAGGCCTAGAAAATTGCCTTCTCTCACCTAACTATCATATGTACAAAGGTGCTTTAAAATGTTCATGGAAAAACAGAATTAAAAGATAATACAAATATTTCCATGAACGTTCTGAAATACCTTCCTATGTATATCTATAGATCTATAGACATGCAGATACACAAGTACACAAAAACAACTACACTTAAGTCATCTGGTGTGTCTTTCATGGTGCTCTCAAATTGTTCTGCTGTACTGATTTTAAAATATTTGACATAATTTCAGATTTAGAGGAAAAGTGCAAAACTAGTATAGTTTCCAGATACCCTTCACTCAGATTGTCCGAATGTTAACATTACATCTGCTTTATCCTTCTTTCTCTCTCTATATGTATACGCATACATATTTGTTGTATGTACTTTTTCCTACTTAATAGTTGATTTAAAATTACTTACATCAAAATATGCAGCAAACATATCATCAGATTCTGTAAACATATCAGGTGCCAAAAGCTTCTTCTGCGATGACCCTTAAAGAAAATTAGCATTAATACTTGAAAAATGAAGAGACTAATTAAAACACAAGTCAGTCAATGGAAAATCACTAATAGTAATTCAAAGTTTTTTCCCTTTTGTACATCACTTTTCTACTAATATTAATTTAGAATACTTCAGGTATAAAAAACAATCCACTTTTACTAAGAAGATGCATTTCAGAAAGTCAAGAGACCTAATATCAACTTATATTTAATATCTGCACCTTTAATCTCAATGGGTTAATTCCCAGTACATATAGATACAGATTAATATAGATCAATACATATTTCTCCCGTAAAACTCCAATCCCATAGAAAACTGGGCAAAAAATAAAAGGAGTTCCTAGAAAAAAAAGAATGCAATAGCTTTAAGCATATGAGCATATGCCCAATCTCACTTATAGTAAGGGAAATACAAATTAAAACTACAATGAGATACCATTTCTCACCTATGATTTTAGCTAAAAATCCAAAAGTATGACAATATTCTGTTGACAAGGCTGTGCATGAACAAGTACTGCTTATGAGATGACAAATCGTACAGCCCTTATGAGAGGGGAATTTGGCAATATAGAGCCAAATTATATAATCATTACAAATTACATAATAAATTACATGTGGCAATATTATATAATCATTCACTCTTCTGACTCAGCAATTCCAATTCTAGTAAGAACACAAAATACAGTGATGAAGCATAAAAAGAGGACTCAGTGAACAATGCCAACAACTGGACAAAATCCACATATTCACTATTAAAAGACTGACTGAAAGAAATAAAAAAATAAATAAACAAAAATGAATAAACTATGGCACATCCTGTAAAAAGAAATGAGAAAGATCATACTGATGAGTGTATAGCATGTTTTTTGTGTGTTTAGGTAGGTAAAATACAAAACACACACACACATGAAAGAGCAAGGTTTTAATAATTACAAAAAAATTGGCAATTCCTCAAAACCAAAAGCAAATGGAAATAAACCTATCAAATTGGTGGTATAATCATAGAGAAAATTATTTCAAATGATTTTGAAACAGACTTGTGACTATACATCTTGGAATGTATTCGAAGGACAAAAAGAACCACTGAAGTTCCATTCAGTGCACTTAATAACGATAATCATACTGATGTCTCATATGCATAAAAATTTCAAAATAATAACCTATCAGTAACTGTGTTACTAGAAACTAAGTTTTTCTTTGTAAAAGAGATAAAAATATAAAATCAACGAAGTTAAAAACCTTATAACTGTAAAATGAGCATAAACTTCTCCTTTCCAAAAAAGTACCTTTTTCCTAACTTTTGTCCAGTGAAAATGCCCAGAAATCATAGGCACTCCTAGATGTCCTATTAAATAGAACCAGGGTTCCTTTGAGAAACAGCCAGTTCCGCTCTAGGGCAAGATATATACAAGACGAGCCTATGATATCTTACAAACTGCACACAGACTGTGGGCCAAATCCAGCCCAACACTTGTTTCTATACGGACAGTTTTATCATTTTTAAGTGTTTAGGGTGAAAAAACTGAAGAAAAATACTTTGTGACAACTGAAAATTATGTAAAATTCAAATTTTAGTGTCCATAAAGTTTATTTTTGGAACACAGCCCTCCTCATTCATCCATGTATTGTATGTGGCTGGTTCTGCATTATAACAGCAGAGTTCAGTATAGGGAACGGAAGAGGAAAATGTCGAAAATAATTACTAAAGACTAAAATATTTACTACCTGACCCTTTCACAAAAAGTTTGAGGGTCCCTGTTCTAGAAAGTAAGAAAGCTATATTGAATACTAAGTGGGTTGGACCAAAAGGATCTTAGAAACCAACCTCGAAGTGTTATTTCTCCACCCACCCTGGTTGAAGAGAGAACAATTTGAGCTTCAAAAAGAAAAATTACAGCAATGGACTGAAAATCATAAAGTACATAATGATACCACACAATAAAAACCCAACAAAACCCATCAAAATCTCACTAGTCATCACTGGAGGTTGCTAAGGTACCAACTCTATTTTATTCTAAAAACTGATCAATAAAGAAAAATATGCATTTATTCTGCCTTTCCTATACAAACTATATTTTGGAGGTAACAAAAAATAGAAAGCTCTTTTTTTTTTTTTCCTTTTTGTCTTTTTTACTGACCGGTAATGGGATCGCAACCCTCGGTGTCGCGCCCGCACTGTGCTCAGCCAGTGAGTGGGAACCGGTCTCCACATGGGATCCAAACCCTCGGCGGGAGCGCTGCCGTGCTCCCAAGCAGTGCACTCTCCAGTGCGCCACCGGGCCGGCCCAGAAAGCTCTTCTTTTACAGAAGAATTAAAACTAATAATTCAAAAATAATTATAGAAATAAAAAAACTACCACTCTGAAACCCCTGCTGAAATAATGGATCTAAGTAATGACCATCAAGGACTGCTACAAAACCGCTACATAAGCAGCAGAAGGGAAACTTTACATTGAATAGATATGGTTCTTCGTATCTGTATCTAAACATACAACCTCAATAAAAGTAGGACAACCACACACATGATGTGATGCAAGTACAGAGACAGCACCACTTATGAAGTATTCTTGCCAACAAAATTAAACCTAAATCTATTTAAATCTTTAATGCTAACTGCTAGTTTTCAAGAAATACAACAGGTAGAGGAAATAAGTTAAAGTACAGAAGAATGTGGCCAGTCAAAAACCAGAGCAGAAAATTTTATAGAACACACTGCCCAGTATCCTCACAAGTAAATGACAAGAGGGAGAAAACAAACAAACAAACAAACAAAAAGATGAGAAGAACTACTAAAGATGAAGAGAAACTAAAGAGATATATATCCCAAATATACTGTGTGCAAATAAAGACACATTTTATTGAGAACATTCATTAGGATACATTTAATATTACAATTATTATAATATTTAGCAGGAGCAACATTTCTAATCCCAAATCTCACCCCAAATAAGGTCTCTCATGATAAAGTTATAGAGTTAAAAATTCTGAGAAAAGCATGGTCAGGACAAAAATCTCTCACTCACCATTATTCTGTTCAACTGTCATTAGATTATGCTTGGCTTTTACTGAGGCCTCAAATGTATCGACATTTTCCCGTTCATACTCTTTAACATCAGCAGCTACCCGCTCCAGAATGTCATCTGGAGAAGGCGATCGTGTTCTAGTACTGCTCTGGGGGCTGCTTGGTTCAGATGGCACGGACATATTGCTATCTTCAGCAAGATATTTATATTTCTGTAATAACACAATTATTACTTTCACAAGATCTGACGCTTTTTGAATATATTAATCTAAGAGTTGCTGCACTGAAAAGAATGTCAAATAATGTAAAGCAACAACAAAACGGGTATTTATACTTTGACTGAATCAGATCGACAATCCCTTATATAATTCCAAAATTCACAAAACTCTGAAAAGGTTTTTCTGTTTGGTGCACATTCCTTAGGTGACAAAACCTGATCTGGTCAGATGAGATGCTGTTTATCATCTTATTTATCCCCCCGCAGTGTGACTATCGGTATGCCTCACTACAGAAACGTTAATGTTTGACTATGGGGTCTGCTCCAGACTCCGCTGATGGCACTAAGTGATATACAAAGATGCACCATTTTACCTTTCTAAAAATTCAAAAATTTATGAGTTCTGCAGCACATCTGGCCCCAAGCATTGGAGATAAGAAATTGTGGTCCTGGGCAAGAACAAAAAAGATTCAACCAAGTCTTCAGGGATATCAGTTTAAAAACAACTGTTGTCCATAAAAATAAGCTTTTTTTGGAATTCCAGTTTTGCCCTACTTCCTCTCTGGTGATTCATATTCTTTCCTTCAACCTACTGTTACCTGATTTATGGTTTGCTATGTATGTTTAGGTGAGCTGGTACAGCTGTTTTCCTTTCGTTTTCTGTCCTTTCTACAGTATCCAATATTATCTTTCATGTCCTCCAGAATTTTTGATCTCTCAACTCCACCACTCACCTTCCCAATGTTAGGAAAGGCTCTCCTAATGATGGTGAGAGACAGCACTTTACAGTGACTGCTGCCTACAAAAAGGATCTAGTGGCCCTTTCCCCACCCAATTTTATCATCTAGCTCTAAGCTAGTCTCAAAATTATTTTTCAAATGTTTCATTTAAATAACCATATTCTCATTAGAAAACCCGCCATTATTCTATTAGACACAAATGTTTTTTTCCACGTAATAACGGGCATAATTTTTTGGGAAATGAAATTCTTCCAATTTATTCTATATTCACTTAAGAAAATTTTCTTATTAACTTAAAAAAGAAAGCAAACTTTAAATTTTCATGTCTTACAAAAGAAGTTTATATCAGAATTCTGTGTATAACAAAAAAGACAACCATCTCAGTTTTAATAACTAAAGAAATTATCATCTTTACAAAGCTCACAAAAGTAATTTTATATATAGTCATCCCTCAGTATCTGTAGGGGATTGGCTCCAGGACCCTCTGAGTATACAAAAAATCTGCAGATGCTCAAGTCCCTTACATAAAATGGTGTAGTATTTGCATATAATCTACACACATCCTCCTTAGGTATTACTTATAATACCTAACACAGTGTAAATGCTATGTATATAGTTATTCTACTGTATTGTTTAGAAAATAACAAGAAAAAAGAAGTCTGTACATGCTCAGTACAGATGGAACGAACCATCCATTTTTGCAAATATTCTTGAACCATATTTGGTTGAATCAAGGGATGCAGAACCCATACAAAGAGGGCTGACTGTACTCTCCTTTTCTAAAGACCTGTTCCACTATTACTGTCACTTTCACAAAGAAAAGTATTTTTATTTTAATAGAATAATGATTATTTAAGAGAAAGACTGATAAAAATTTTACTAAAATCACATACCTGAACAATTGCTTGCCTTTGTATTCTTCTCTGTTCTATTAGGGCTTCTTCATCTTCTTCCTCTACATCAAAGTCTTCAAGGCTTAAAAAAAATTTTTTTTCACATCCTTACAGATTCTAAAACTGTAACTCACACAAATTAAAAGCTGGAAAGTGTAGGTCATCATTAAATAGAGCAAGTTTAGTAGTCTATTCTTGTTTCTAAACCACCTCAGTTGCCTGGTTTGGAATCCTGGCAAGTGATTCAACCTTCTTTTATCCTCACAAATTAAAAGCTGGAAAGTGTAGGTCATCATTAAATAGAGCAAGTTTAGTAGTCTATTCCTGTTTCTAAACCACCTCAGTTGCCTGGTTTGGAATCCTGGCAAGTGATTCAACCTTCTTTTATCCTGTTTTCTCCTTTCCTATTTCATGGCACCAAAACTGGGAACAAAAGAAAAATCTCCAAGTTTAAAAACGTCACCACTGGGTCTTTCATGATCTTAATAAAGTCATGTTAGCTCTCTGGTCTCTGTTTTCTCACCTATAAAATGAGAAAGCTGGGACAGATAAAAATTGTTTCCTCTTCTGGGTCACAGGACCCTCTGGAAGCTCATGAAAGCTACAGATCCCTTCCTTATAAGGGATAAGATGCAAAACATTTGTATATTATCTGAAGGGAAATGTGGCTCAACCGCCAAACTCTGCCCCTGACCTTCCCCAACTTGTTTCCCAAAGACCTCTTCCACAATCTTTATGATCCCCTGAGGGCAACCTTTTCTATGATCCTATCTGCTGAATGTTCAGGGCAGAAGCATAAGCAATCTGCATGATGACCACACCAGGATCTATACAGAACACCCTTCCCCTACCCAACTTTCTTAATCACATAGCTTTAATAAGGGTTTCTCGAGCTTAGCACATTACTGATTTTTTGATATGAATAGCTCTTTATTTGTGGGGTTATCCTGCACATTGTAGGATGGAGTATCTCTGGCCTCTAGCCACCTAGATGAAAGTCAAAGATGTCTTCGGACCTTGCTAAAATGTTCCCAGGGAGGCAAAGAGCCCCTTGTTGAAAATACTGCTCTAAATCAGTCTTATTTATTTTTGAGATATTCCATTTAGACAACCAAGTTTACGTTTAAAAAATTTCCCCACTATTTTACTAGAAACAAATATTTTTCCATTTTCACATCACAACAGGCCATCAGGTAGCCTCACAATTGCCAAGGATGCATCATTTGACATAAACTGAAATGTCTAAACTTTATATAGAAATTCCCTTTATATAGAAACTGGTAACTCAGATTGGCAGGAGTAATATATCAGTTGTTCCTAATAAAAATAAAGAGAAGGCTCACGATAAAATGATGGCCCAATACTCACTCCAGCCAAAACTGAAACCCATAAATTCAGAAAACCACTAACTCTGCCATATAACCTACACAATATGCACAAAAAGTTAACTTTTAAATTCTGAAAAAACAAAATTATGGAAAACTTCCATTCTTACTTATCATCTGATGAAGATTCTTGCTCAACTTTCATTCCTTCAGAAAGACTTCCTTTAAATTTATCTTCCTTTACTTTGCTCCTGCTCCTTCGTCTACGACCACCCCGTGACCGAGACCGCCTTCTCAAGCGTGATCTGCTCCTCCGCCCTCTGTCCCTATGTGGAGAAAAAAAAGACAGATATACATTTTTTAAATGTCAATTAAAGTGGGGGAGAGCATCCATGAGTGGTGGCAGGGGGTACATGGAAACATTACTTTCTGCTAAACTTTGCTATGAACCTAAAACCCCTCTAAAAACAGTCTATTAAAAAAAAAAAGATCATTTAAAAATTTTAAGTAAAATAACAGACTCTGAGAAAGATTGGGATAATCAGCTTAACTGAAAATAACTAAAACACAGTTCTTACACTGTTCTTACCAAATTTTAAACTAAAAAATGTTTCCAATAAATATGGACATAAATATAAGCTCTGTGGGGATAAATATCTACTGTTTCTTTGTATTCTTATAGCACCAAGGTTGTGATATGTAGAAAGATAATGAATAGGTAATTGTTGATTAATGTAATAGAAACTAGTAGGTTTTTTCTAGTCTCACTAGTTGAATTATATGATTATCAAGAGTCAGTTAGCTGTGTTTATTTCCTAAGCTGTTTATACTGTTAACTATATTCATTTTTAATTAGATTATTAATTATGTAAACTTATGAAATAAGAGTGTCTTAAAGAGAGGAGTTTTCTATGAAACTAAGTTGAAACTGTAGGAACAGAAAACAGATAAGCAGTTGTTAAGGGCTGGAGTAAAGAGAAAGACTGACTACAAAGGGGTACAAGGTAACTGGGGGGTAATGGAAATGTTCTCTACCTTGACTATGGTGACTATGTGACTGTATGTGTCTGTCAAAATTCATATAACTTTACATCAAAAAGGATGAGTTTTGTAGTTGAAGCATTAAGGGTAAAGTTTATATTAGAAAGATGTTGCAGAACTTCAAACAGAAAAGGCTGTGGTTGTACACATCAAAGAATTATGTTACATTTGATTATCATGTTTACCTCAGATTTCTTCTGAAACCTTACCAAAATGACAGTAAAGGAACGCTTAGAAGAAAATCTACAGGCAAAGAGAACGTGAAGCGATATGACAGCAGAAATACCAACAAAAACCTTGAAACGTGCTAATTGGATGGAAGAATGGTAACAGATCAAATCGAGGTGAATATTATTAGTCCAGTAGGAACAGACAAGGTAAATCAGAAACAAGTCAGTGCACGTCACAACACCCCCAGAAAGCCTCAGGAACTGGAGACACCATATCCTCTGAAGGATGGAATATGAGATAAAAGCTGAAAACAAAATTGGTTGAAAGCCTTTAGAAACAGCTAGACTGTATATTCCCCTCCCTAACTCAGTGGAAAATGCCAACCACTCCTTTCACATTCTGGTAGAACACTTAAGGTTTACTTTCTAGAGAGGTGGTAGTTGTTGTAAAAACCAGCACAAGATACTGGAGGCAATATAACAAAAATAGGGATTAAGAGGAAGTTTATATTATGAAGAACCAGAACTCTACTCTGGCAGCCAGGTCTATACATCCCAGCAAGAGATGAGAGGATTCTGGAAAACTTACTAGTCTAAGAGAAAGATTTATAGTCACTGATATCCTGAAGTCCCTAGTGATAACCACTAGATGACAAATACTACATCGCCAGAATGGAAGAAAACTTCCATTCAGCCTTCTCATTGCTAAGTGGTAAATCAGGACAGGAAGCAATGAAGGATCCAGCTGTTTGAAGGTTTTCAAATAAAAAGGTAAACAAACAGCAAAAGGAATCTGGGAAGAAACAAAGTATAGACAAGAGAAGAAAACTATAGAAAACAAAAACCAAACAAAATAAACTAATTATCATCTGAGAGATATTTAAAAAACAGCCAATAATCGATAGAAGGTAGAACAAGAAAATCTCCTACACTGAAAAGTAGAACAAAATGACAAACATGAGAGACGAGCAAGAAAAAAAAATCAGCAGAACAATACAGAAGGTCCAACTGAAAAAAAAAAAAAGGAAAAATGCAAAAAAAGAGAGAAAAATTTCCAGAATAAAAGACCACAATCTTTCTGCTATAAAGGGTCTATCTAATGACCAGCAAAATAAATGGAAAAAATAGATCCAAACACCAAGGCACATTATAGTGAAATTTCAGAACACAGAACATTTAGTGTAAGAAAGAAGAGAGGAAAAAAGTAAGTTAAAATGCCTGGGAATCAGAATTGGACTTCTCAGTAGCAATACTGGAAACTAGAAATCAGTGGAACAATTTCAAAATTCTCAAGGAAATATTATTTCAACCTAGAATTTTACTTCTTGCCAAATCAGTAATGAGAATAAAAGGCATTGTTTAGAGATACAAGGTCACAATAAATTCCCCTTTCATGCGATTTCCTCAGGAATCTTCTGAAGATGTGTTACCAGAACAAGGCAGTAAAACATGAAAAGATGACACTGGACACAGGAAATGGAATCACAACAGAAGAAATAAAAAAGGGAATACCAAGAGGATTGCAAAGAGAAAGCAATCTCACAAGTATAACTGTACAAGCAGCCCTAGAAATTAGTTTGGAGCCAGAAGACTAGGAGCATCAGAAAGAAGGCCCTTTCTTCCCTCCTCCCCCAACTGTTTGCTCAGCAAGGAACAATAGGCACATGATCATAACAACTATACTGACTCTAGAAGCACTCAGAAATGCAATGAAATTAGGCAGAAGAGAAAAATGGGTAAAGGGGTGGTATAAAAAACCCTCATTGTCCAAAGCACTCTTAGACCATGAACGTCCAACTTCTAGGAATGTAGTATACAAAAATTCTCAAATACGTAAAGATAATCGCAATATAAAGCCTTTGGTGTGCTATCTTTTTAAACTATATTCATGTATTACCTCAATTAAAAACATTAAAAGAGGAGACAAAAAAACCCCCAAAACATTAAAAGACTGGCAAATGAATGTCCATGTTACAGTTTAGGTTATAATAGTTAATATAAATGTAGATTTTAAAAATGATTCACTACCTTAAAAACCAACCTTTTTGATTAACCATCTACCAAATACATGTGCTTCAGATAAAATGGTTTCTACGGTGAACTAAATAGGTTTTTGCCTAAAGTCTTCAGAAAGTATCAATATACCAAACTGCAATAATAAAGTAACAGGAAATTGGGCTACATATCTACTACCCTATGATCTATCCTGCTAGTTAAAAAAAAAAATCCCTAAGCCTAGCTCATTTAGTATTTATCTCTCTTCTAAGAGAAAAAAATGTCCTACTTTTAAATTTGAAGGGAAACTATATACAAGAAAAATCTGTGTGTGGGATATGTCACATGCTGGTGAAAGGAAACTATGGGATCACAGCTACAATTTTTCAGAGAAAAATGGTCTATAAGAAAACCTACCAATTGAGCTAATTAAGGTTTCAAAAACATTTAGAGTTTAAGGAATCAAAAAGATAACATATGTGATATATTTTTACCTTCTCCGAGGAGACCTGCTTCTTCTTCTTGGAGACCTGCTACGTCTAAGTGGGGAACGAGACCTCCTTCTAATGGGAGATCTACTTGTTCTTCTTCGGTTTGGAGACCACCTACTGATGGGGCTGGCATCTTTTGATCTTTCACGTCTACTGAGGATATCATCTCGAGTTCTTGTTCTTAAGAGGATCAAATGCAAGTTAACAGGAAAATAAATCAAACCAAATAAATCTGTTCTACATGTAAAGAACATCTTAAAGGGCACAGTAACTTAAAGATAATAAGCGCCGATTAATGTGTTCTGTAACAAATCTTGAATTCAGATGAGCACAGTGACATTTTGGTGTTATATAGTAAGCATACGATACAAGGTTTATTTCCTCTGGTCTCACAATTTGGAAAATTACTAAAGGTATTCATATTGTTAAAGCCACTGATTATAATCAGATAACTCAAATAAAACTTGCCCAAGTGAGTAATAATATTCCATTTCCTAAGTTTGAAGATTTTTTCCTACATTTTGACATTCCTGTAATTCAATTCCTTATTTTTATTTTTATTTTATTTTATTTTATTTTATTTTTTCCTTTTTGTCTTTTTTCGTGACCGGCAACGGATCGCAACCCTCGGTGTCGCGCCCGCACCTCGCTCAGCCAGTGAGCGGCCGGTCTGTATGTGGGATCCGACCCCTCGGGGGGAGCGCCACCGCGCTCCCAAGCGGCGCACTGTAGCAGTGCGCCACCGGGCTGGCCCGAATTCCTTATTTTTAATATCAATTAAGTATAAAAGTGTCTTACAATCAGCGCTAACCTCAGAACTGAGTATCCTCTCCTACTAAAGATCAACTTTTCAACATCTGCCTCACAAGTACTTTCCAATGAATTTTACTCTTGTTTAAAGTGAGATCTGTATTACAACAGATAATACAACTTAATTTTTAAAAATTTTCTACAACTTAATTTCTTAAAATAGGTTTTGAACATTTCTTAATGCTCTTCCAGATTTGGATAGGACTATACAATCTGAACAGTCAGGCCAACGTGTAAATATGCTTGTCTCCAAAATTAAATAACATTACAATACTTTCCCCCTTTAAAGAACATTAAAAAACAAAACAAAAAAACCCTGCCTTTCATGTTTAAACATAGTATACAGAACCCATTCTCTGACTCAACCAAAATAAGCAAGGTAGACTGACTCAGACTATACAGCTTCTTGGTAAGGTCATCTGAGGAAATTCTTTTATTTATGTATAATCTGTGTGCGCGCGCACACACACACACACACTGTAAATGAATAGGATAAAGTAAAAGAGAGTAAAGGAATAGAATGTTATTTGCTTAAATGCAATGAAAATAAAAATGTTCCCCCTCACCAGTGATCTAAAATGTCTTTTTTTTTTTTTTCTCAAAAGAGTAACAAAATGCTACTATCCTGGTTAATACAGGTTTGGGGAAAAGGACAGTGTAGTCATGAAAGTACAAGTCGGTATAACTTTCCTGGAAGGAAATTTGGTAGTAACTTTTTAAAAAGTAAATGTACATACATCAAGTCTTTGCAAGTCCACTTCTATGAATCTATTCTACAAAGAAACCTAACACATAACCAATGGACATCTTTGCATATAATAGTCAAAAACTGGAACCAACCTAAATTTTCATCAGTTTCAAAAAGAGAATGACTAATTATGGTACATCTACATGGTGAAATACCATGTTGCTGTTATAAAAAATGAAAAAGAATCTATATATGTTCTCACAGAAATGTTTCATGAAATAAGCAAGCCAGTTAATAAGAATAGTACAACTTCATTTTTGTAAGAAAAAATTTATATTCATATGATTATGTGTGTACAAAGGGTCAGAAGGACATAAACTTCTTAGGAGTGGTAGTGGTGGGACAGGGAGAGAACGAGTTTATAGGCTTCTGCATTATTTGCATTTCTCTTTAATTAGTATGTTCCTCTTCTGTAACTCAAATTGAACAACTTTAGATAAAGTAATCAGAAAAAATAACAATTGACTCAATGCAGAAAGCTAGAAGGAAAAAGGGGGCTATTATATCACAGTGTCATTTAGAGGTAAAGAATTAAGACTATCTCTTAAGATAGAGCACTTTGAAAACAACATTCTTGAAATTTCTCTGAGAATATGATGATTTAAACTTCAAGGTGAGTTTACACTTATACACAGAAAATATTAATATGAATATAGTAAATGGCTAGGCATTCATAACATCTTTACACAGTATAAACCAACATTCTTTTAATAAATAAAACTTGGATGATAATTTCATAATATGCAGTTATTGAATATAAAGATATCTGATTAGCTCCTAAAATACTTTAGACTGGTAGAAATACTGTACCCCTCCCTCTGCAAATAATTTAGTTCTATGATCCTAGGTAAATTAACTATACAACTTCTTTTTTTTTTTTTCCTTTTTTTTTTTTGTCTTTTTTCGTGTCCGGCAACGGATCGCAACCCTCAGTGTTGCGCCCGCACCTCACTCAGCCAGTGAGCAGGAACCGGTCTGTATGTGGGATCCCACCGGGCCGGCCAACTATACAACTTCTTTGACTCTACTTCTTCATTTATAAATTAGGTATGAAAGAGTCCCCCCACCTCATGAGTTAAGACAATCACAGAAAGAACTCTAGTAGACTTAATGTACTATACAAATATAAAACATCATTATTATTGGTACAAAATAAAATCATTTCTTATACCATTCTTCCCAAATAAGAGGTACTACTTTTCTCAACAATGAGATTATAATGACATAAATTAGTAACAAAATCATTTCCATTTTAAGCTTAATCATACTTTGGGGGCAAAACAATGGTATTAGTTTCAATTTACACTGTTAAAATTCAAAATCCTGCAAGTGCAAGAGAATAAACAGATCAGTACTTAAACTGATTACCCCCCCTTTTAAAGTTAGAAGTTTCAGCCTATATTGTTCAAAGAAGTAATAATCTCCTCTTTGCACTACCCCATGAAGATTTGTCTATCAAATTATTTGGATTTAAAGGAGTGATTTAGCAAATCAGATACTAAACTAAATCAAGAACTTAAAAAAAAAAAAAAACCAATTCTATCAGATTTAAAGGAGTGATTTAGCAAATCAGATACTAAACTAAATCAAGAACTTAAAAAAAAAAATACCAATTCTATCATCAGTCAGTATTTGTAAAGCACCCATAATAAAAATATTCATTGACAAAGTGCAAATATTAATATAGTTAATGGACTGGACTGTATTTAAAATTATGAAACTCACTACTACCTCATTTTTAATTGTCCACAAGTTCTAGTTTTCCCTTTAAAATATGGTACATTGGTAAAAGCATTAAGGTTTTGTAAACAAGTTACCTTGGAGAAGAAAGTCGCCTCCTCTCTGGTTCTCTTCGTTTTCTTTCTAAGGATCGGCTCTTGGCTCTTCTACCAGGAGACAGAGTCCGAGAAGGTGATTTGCTCTGTTTAGATCTTCTATCATTTAAAAGTGGAGATCTACTTCTTCTTGATTTATCACGTTGTTTTGGAGACAAACTTCTTCTTTTAGGACTACGACCCGGTCTTCTACTGGGTGATCTATTTTCTTTCCCAGAAGAAGCATCTTTAGAGGGAGACTTAATTGGCTTCTTTTCTTTATCAATTTCAGACCGTTTTGATTTTCTCTCTTTGGACCGTGACCTTCTGTCTTTGGACTTACCTCTTAAGTCAACTGGGGATCTGGATTTTTTACTTCGATCACGACTTCTACTTTCATTTATAATTGGAGATTTTTTCCTATCTTTTGACTTACTTTTATCTTCAATTTTAACCTTATCATCAGTAGGAGATCTGGCTTTCCCGACTTTCTCTTGAGATCGCCTTCTAAGGGCAGGGGATTTTGATTTTCTTGCTTGATCTTGGGACTTACTTCTCTTGGATGGACTTTTAGACTTTTTCCTCTCCTTTGACTTGCTCCTAGTTGTCTTTTCTTTTACTACTTCAACACCTCCCTTACTTTTCTTTTTATCCGACCTATGTCTAGTCCGTTCTTTGGATCTGCTTTTACTTCGCTTTTTCGTACTATTTTTACTGTCCACAAGTTCAAGTTTCCCCTTTGTACTTGAAGATCTAGTACTAGACCTATTTCCATTTCTTGCCTTTTCATGTATTTCCCCCTCTTCTTCAGAGCCAGACTCATAACCTTGTAAAATTAGCCCCATCCCGGATTGGACCTTTCCTTCCATTAACTCATTATCAAGTTCAGCTTTAATCAAGGCTCTCTGTTTTTCCAAGTCTTCTAGCAAAGCTAAATCATCGAGTTTAGTTCTTTTTGCTGGAGACATACCTTCTTTGTCAGAAGCATCAATAACCTCTTTTCTTTTGTGTTTCTTATGTTTATGCTTATGTTTATGCTTTTTATCCTTGTCTTCTTCTGAGGAATGTTTATGTTTCTTATGTTTACTTCTGTGTTTATGCTTCTTTTTTTTGTGGCGACTGTGCTTATTTTGAGATTGGTCTTCTGATACTTCTCCATTTTCTTCATTTACACTCTTCTCAGAATTATCAGCATCTTCCATCCTATAAATGTATGAAGCACATTTTAAAATCACATCATCTATTAAATATTCAGTCATAACAAAATGACTAATGATAAAATATATCTCAATGTAATACATAAAGTTAGTCACTAAAATTTTTTCAGAACAGCTTCAGATACTTTATTTCATAGAAGGTCAATGGCAAGAACTCAGTTGGGTGGTGATATAACCAATCTGTTTCTAATGGTTGAACCCGTACACTGAAAGTATTAAAGGAAATACATAATGAGGTGAAGCTAAAAAAATTATTTAACTGAAAAAGAGAATCCAAACCAAGCACAATAAAATCTCATTAGTTAAATCTCATAATTTAGTTAAAACAGTCACTCGGTAACTTGATTTTTAAACCAGCATTTTCCACACATACTTAAATAGTAAAGGACTCATTTTTTTCCCCCGTAAAACATACTGACATTGGGAGACTAATCTTCACTTGAAATTTGGAGTATCTGATGTCTCTGCAACAAACCTAGCAGTTCATTCGTTTTGAGCAGATTTCATCTTATACCTCAATAACCCCCTTTTTAAATGTCTAGAGCCAATATAAGCACTCAATGAGCATTGATGGCTGATGCTGATGTTGACAGTGTAAACACATACTGGAGGGTTAAAACTTCAAAGAGAACCAGAAAGTAGGACTCTTGGCCTGTAGTTGCCACTAAACAACCATGTTTATTAAGTTGAACCAAATAGAAGGGCTTTTTGTAGGTCAACAGTCTAATATCAGCAATTTCAGATAAACTTCAAAGAGAACCAGAAAGTAGGACTCTTGGCCTGTAGTTGCCACTAAACAACCATGTGGCATTAAGTTGAACCAAATAGAAGGGCTTTTTGTAGGTCAACAGTCTAATATCAGCAATTTCAGAGGGTTCGATCCAATATTTGTTCAGCAAGTTATTTAATCTCTCTGAATTTCAAATGAGAAATTAGTTTCCAAATATGTTCATATTAATAGGCACTATACCAAAACAATTTTATTAAATTAAGGGAGGTTCTCTGCTTAGTTTTACGTTATGCCGAGTTAGTGTTCATGATTCTAAATTATTTTATCAAGCCTGTGGTGTTCAGTAATCCAAGGTTAAATACAGGTTCAACAGCATTATTTAACCTTCCCCTTTAAAGTCACTCCATAATAAACTATCACAAGCTAGAAAATGAGACCCAAAGCAAACTTTAATTTACCTGAATTTAGGCCATCATACTATTTTTGAAGAAAGATATACACTATTTTTTCAGGCTTCCAACCCATATATTCTTATGTTTTTATTTGTGCCATATACTACATACAAATGAATTCATGAGTCTATTTGTCAGTCTTCTAACATTTTTTAAAAACCACCTACCACCGGTAGGCATTAAGCCAGAAGGCAGGAAAACAAAGATGTTCAAGACCAATATCTGTCTTTCAAGGAAACTGTAGTCCATTGGAAAAAGAAAGTCACATGACACAACCATAAAACATTGGAAAAGTGCAATGGTAAAGACACAAACAAGGGCTTTATGGGAACACTGAAGGATCACCTAAACTCATTTCAAGAATGTCCAGGGAAGGTGTTTTGTAGATCACTAAAATATCCAAGCTATTTGTTAAGCTTGGACTTTGTGGGGAAAGAAGAAATGTTTATCAACAAGGGATGTGGATAAAAAAACAAAGATTGAGTAACACTGTCCTAGAGAATGAGTAAGGAATTGACAAGAAGGAGAAAGGGGCATTTCAGATAGAGACGGCCAAGTGACAAAAGGCACAGTTATACAAAGCAAACTACAAGCAGATCAGTGCTGCCACAGCATCAGACTTGTGGAAGAAACTGGTTTAACAGAGGTTAAAATACCAGTGGGTCAATTCCAGAAGATGACAAGATATTGTGTGTGATTCTGGGAGGGAGTGGTTGAGATAGAATTAGAGGTTCACTAGAGTGACAGAGGCCCAAGGACTACAAGGAAGGTTAGGTTGCTGGCTGGGGTGTCTATAAAGATACTGCTATTTCTGGGGATTAGGGGAGTAATTGGAGTATAGAGTCTAGTCCTCCTACCAGGTCTCAGTCTTCAATAAACTTGGGGGAGAGGAGAGGAGAAGAATGGAGGTATGGCTGAGAAATTATTAGTTGACAACAACAAGGAGTGGAGGACAAATAGCCACCACACGGCATCAAACTCAAAGAGCTTTGTGTTTTGCATGTCAGACTGCCAATCTCCATTTCTGGTACCATGGAGTATGGGGGAAGGAGTATGAAAGTACCATGGAGTATTGGAGGGAAGTACAGAGGAAGATATGTCCTCTGTTTGAGAGTGAGGTTCTCATGGAGCCCCAGAAGACAGGATAAATACAGTACTATTCTCTGGATCATCAATTTTTCTCAAAGACTTGGAAAAACAAAGTGCAACATCTTTGTATTTAAAAAAAAAAAAAAAAAAGAACAAAAACAAGATTATTACCAGAGGGGAAAAAAACCACATAAGTATAACATTCAAAGACATTTCAACTTTGTTCCTGATACAGATTATACTCCCATACAGGTGACCATTCCCCTTTCCCCAGAAATCTCCCATCTCACAATCCAGAAGGTGGGGTATATGTCTTTTTTCCTGAACCTTGACTTATAAGAGGAAAAGTTTAAGAAAAAATAGGCCATATAAGTTATGCAGATAGGTTAGGAAAACCTTTTTAAAGGTTGAGAATGATTTTTAGGTATATAAAATCTAAGTGTCCAAAATACAAAATCCAAGTCACTAAGCTAAAATTTAAACTACCTAAAGATCTCCTAACTGTCCTTAAGACAAAGGGTAGTTGAGTGATTAAGCAGTCTCCACAGCAAGACTGCCTGGTTCCACTGCTTACTAGTTGTGTGGCTTTGGCAAGTTTATCTCTGATCCTCAGGGAACTCATCTATAAAATGGAAAAAATAATAGTACCTACCTGAAAGGGCATTCTGAGGTTTATACAAGTTGATAGATGTTAAATGTTTATAACAGTGCTTAGCATGAACCAAGTACCCTCAAAAGCAAGCTGTTATTGTTGTATAAATACTAGATACATATGTTTATTCACAACAACACAGTGTAGCTGGCAGGGTTGATACTAAGAACATTATTTTAAGGAATACCGTCAAGGAGCATAGACTCTGGAGTCAAATGGCCTGATTTAAATGCTGCCTCCAACATGACATAGCTATTGTACTCTTAAACAAGTTGTTACTTTGTGCCTTAGTTTCTTCAACTTTAAAAACTAGTAAAATAATAGTACAAGTTGAGCTTCCCTAATCTGAAATGCCCCCAAATCTGAAGCTTTTTGAGCACTGACATGATGCTACAAGTGGAAAATCCCACACTTGACCTCATATAATGGGTCACGTGTTTCACACACACAATTATTAAGAATATTGTATAAAATTACCTTTAAGCTATGTGTATAAAGTGTATATAAAACATAAGTGAATTTTGTGTTTAGACTTGGGTTCCATCCCCTCATTTTATACACACACACACACACACACACACACACACACACACACACACACACTCCAAAACCCACAGACAAAAACACTTCTGGTCCCAAGCATTGTGGATAATGGATACTGAACTTCTACTGAAAAATCACAGGTTTGTCATAATTAGATGAGTTCATACTATAAAAGGCTGTCATACTAAGCACTCACGAAATGTTCTCTCTCCATACGACAGATGAGACTTGGAGGTTTAAGGGACTAGCCTAAGGTCACGTATATATGAAGTCAGTGAGAAGGACGGTATTACATTCCAAGTCAGTCAAGGCTCTTTCATTTGATCAAAGATGCTTTTAAAATGTCAGATTATGCTACTACTCTTCATGAAACTTGATATTGCTTCTGACCTCATTCAAACTAAAAGCTAAATCCTTTACAAGGTCCTATGCTTATCTATCTGCCCAACCTCCTCAACACTCTGAACCTACTGCTCTCCTCCCACACAATTTCAAATATATAAACTTACATTTTAACATTTACATCTGACAAGTTAACATTATACATCTAGCAGGCAGATATGTATACCAACCTTATCTACAACAGGTTTGTCATAAAACAAATATTTTTTGAGAACCTATTGTGTACTGGGTAGCATCCTTTGAATCATATTACTTCTGAGCAAAGGCAAATTTGAAATGCAAACAATAAGGGGGTGTTGAACACTACCTGTTTATTTGTTTTGTTAAGTTTTAACCTTTAAAAAACCCAGGTCTTGGGACATCTGGCACAATAACTACAGTAATGAAATAACTTTAAATATAATGTAAAGTGACCAATCACCAACAACTAGTATTTTTAACTTCCTCTTTCACATATTTTTCTGAAGAATAATCTTAATAAATTTATTTGGGAAGCATTAACTTATACTCTGGAGACAGAGAACTGATTAAATTTATATATGAGTGAAACTGTTTTCAAGTTAGACAATTCTTAAAATTTTTTAAAGTGGTGAGCAAAATGAATGCCTCTGCTTCTTTACAAGCAAAGTAATTAAGCCTGTTTCTCTGACAAGTTAAAACACTTTTAATATAGCATTACATAGATGTAAAAATGAGAATGGATCCCAAAGCCCAACAAATCTTAAAATAAACATCTCCTCTGACCCCTACCCCCTTCCAAATCAGGTTTGGGAAATTAAGTTTCAACATATTAGAAATGTCACATAAAAAGCAAACCTTTCTGCGACACTGGAAAGAAATAAAAGTGATTTCAAACCTGAAAGGCAATTTAAAAAGGAGCTACAATGTACAGCGGGACGCCAGTGCAATAGTTAGAAGCAAGGACTTAGAACCAGACTGCCTGTCTGTCACTTAGAGTGTCCTCGGGCAAGTTAGTTAAGTTCTCTGTGCTTCATTTTCATCATCTGTAAAACATAGAACATAACAGTATCTACCTCCACAGGGTTGTCAGAATTAAATGAGTTAATATTTTTTTCAATGCTTTGTATAGTATCTAGTGTTTTGTAAAGGCAATTAAGTTCAAAAAGGCTGAACTAAAGAGACTGTCAAATGTAAAAGCCACTACATCAAAAGGACTTTGGGGAGCTATTCTTTATACTTATTCTTTTAAAATTTTCGATTTTGAATAGATTCCATGTAACTATAAACTACTCAGTGTCCTCTAAGGAACTACTGTAGACACTATATTTGAGTACTCACTAAGAAAAAGCATGCACACTAGCTTTCATATCAAACTGTTATTTTATCAGTTAAATATTTTCAAATTAATGACAGTGGTACAAATACAGACCAAATATTCTATTTACATCAAGTGTTCCATGGGGATGGGGGGCGTAGGGGAGATTAAAGACCATCTCAGTGTTATTTATACTGCAGGAGCCTAAATAAACAGGCATTTATTATTAAACCTAGTATTATTTGAATATGTGAATAAAAGATGGCTGACCAACTCGTCAAATGAATCTGAACTATCCCTAAAATCAAACAAACATAATATTATAGAACTTTCCAGATTAATAGAAAATTCAGCTATAGCATAAGATTTGCACTGTATTGGCATAAACACTATACCTGTGCCACACAGCAGACTCTGAGAAACAATAAGAGACTAAGTCTGGTTAAAACTTTATCAGCACCGCACTCTTCCGAGTGAGCCATGGGGCCAGCCCCTAAGTCTGGTTAAAACTTTAGAATCCATTTGCTGTCTAAGTCAAATTGTGAAAACAATAAAGCAGCTTTCAAAAACCGTTAATGAAATACTTTGTGTAATTCTCTGTCTACCTGAGTAAAGCAAGTAACTGAGGAGCCTAGAACTGGATGCATAGCAATTAAGTGTCTGGTTGTCTGGTGCCAAAGTTTTCTCCTATCTCTCAGTCACAAGTTGCTGACAGACCATATGAACCTCTACTACTTTCCTAAGATGGCTGGAAACAAACCAGATAACGCAGATGCAAAAAACGGTCGCTGTAAGAATACTGTTTTAAATCATTCTCTTTAGGTTTTTCCTAACACACACATGAAAAACAAAATACTACTTTTAGTTAAGCAACGGTTTGCCTTTGCGCAATTATGTTTTCACTTGGCCGCATGGATTCTTATAAAGATTAACTTAATCATAGACCTCAAGTGGTTTTGGTTTGCAAACAGCTAGCAATTCCCACTACTTCCACTCGTCTTCCTAAAGAAGGGCTATAAATTCAGGCCAAAAATGCCAGGCCTTAAAACCAAGGACTCTAGCTTACTTCGCCTCAAGTTGTAAGTTGGCAAACAAGCTGCTAATAAATAGGTTAAAAAATACTGGGTGGCTGCTGGAGTAAAGAGTACAAGTTGCGGAGATGAAGTATCCGCTACCTACAGACTATCTCTGGGTTGGTCAAAGAGCGTGACCCTAGCACCCTCTCTCCTCTCTGCTTTCAGGTCCTAAAGCTGACACCAGAAGCAGAACGACCGAGTGTACTGCATGCGGAAGACAAGACTTCGGGCTTGTCCTCCCTGCCGCCACTGCCCCTCGGGTCTCCAAAACCGATGCCGGTAAGTGCGGTACCAAGGAGCTCCGTCCGCTCCCGAGAAACAGGAAGGTGCGACCTCGGATCCGCGGCAGCCGCCACGCGCACCGAACCTATAGAGGCCGCTCGCGCGTCCACCTCCCGGGGCAACGACGCGCGGCCGCGGCCTCTGGGAGTGCTAAGCTCGTAGGCCGCCTGCCCGCTCCCCACGCCTCCTGCCCCACAATGTATCGCGCGGGCAAGGGCAAAGTTTGGCTCTCGCCGTCAGGCCTGAACTTTCCCGCCCGCCAGTGCAGGTCTCCACCGTTTCCCATCCGGCAGTCCCCAGGGCTTTGGCCTCTGGCCCACGAACACAGACTACTCACTCTGGCTGTTCCCGCAGCGACTGTGTCTCCGCGGCGGCCATTTTGAACTTCCTGACTCCTCAGCGGCAGTGGCGGCGGCTCCCCGGCCGGTGGAAGGTAGTGGAAGTGGAGAAGAAGGAAATGCGCTTCCGCGCATGTGCTAACCGCGTAGAGGAAAGAGGCGCTTAATCCGCGCGCTAAGAATCCGGATGTAAAAGCCTACATCCGGGGAGGGGACGCAGAGCGCAGTGACGCGACTACCGGGGCCGTGGGGGCGGTGCCTGCTAAAGGTTAAGGGCGAATGACTTCGCCGGCTTGGGCTCTGGACGTTGTTAGGCCCGAACGGTTAGTTATCGAAGCTTGCTGGAGAGGGTAACAAAAGGGAGTGGGATAATCGGTACGTGTGTGCAGTTCCGAGAACTGGTTCACTATGGGGTCCAGAAGTTGGGTGAAAATTCTCTTAAACTAGGAAAAACGAAGTGATTTTGCTTCTGGACATTGTTAAGAGACAGCAAAAATGCTTTACCGCCTCGGTAGATAACTCAACTGAAGCGGCATTAAGGGAAGGGGTGTAGGCCGTTTGAGAATACTGGAAAGTTACAGCTTTACGTCGAATGTAAATGTTTTTTAATACGAACTGTTATTATTGCATTTATTTGAAACTTGCGAACTTCGTTTCAACTTTTGCATGGTTCAGAGGGTAACATGAGTCGTTAGGTTCTTTGTTTCTGTAAGTTAAACTTTTTGGGGGCGGGTGGCCGGTACAGTATAAATCGAACTTTTAAGAATTTTTTTTGTCTAAGTTGCTTTATGTAATTTTGTTTTTCTATGACTACGGGATTAAATGAAATACTGTATTAGAAAAATCTACCGGGCTCTTGGAGGGTTCTCAATACCAAGTAGATTCTTAAATTCCTCCCCCTACAAAAAAATAAATAAATAAATAAAAAATATATATATATATATATTTAGATATAGATATATAGATATATATATAGATATATATATAAGGTATACATATATCTCAATACTCTGGAACCTAAAAGAAGGGTGACGATCACTTACATTCTTGTAATCAACTGAATTTGGGTTTGTCCTAGAAATTTGAGTTCGTAATCTCTGGGCTCCTTATCTCTTGATTTCCAGGGAACAACAGTTTCAAATATTCTTACAAGTCCCTGGTTGGCTGAATTCCAAACGTCTTAAAATATTAAGCGTTTTCCCCTCATGGATTCTGTTAATAATGTGGAACACTAAATCAATCCTTAGATAATTATTGATTTTTGTAAATACCCCCACTCACACCTATTGTAGCATTTCTTTTCACCGTCCTTAATTATATTGTCTTCCTGTGGAACACTAAATCAATCCTTAGATAATTATTGATTTTTGTAAATACCCCCACTCACACCCATTGTAGCATTTCTTTTCACCGTCCTTAATTATATTGTCTTCCTCATGAAGGATTTCTCCTCTTCTTAACAATCAGATTCAGGTATAATAACTCAGAAGACTTCTTTTACGGGAAAGTTTTCAGAAATATGTCAAGGATGGTTTCTATTTTCAACCATATATTTATGCACTAATGGTGAATGGTTTGATTTCACAATTCTAATTTTCTCCCTCAAAGTTCTCATCCCTGCGTAGCTTTTCAAACATATTACTAATTCAGCCTTGTATTTTACAATGAATTAGTATATTCCCTGCTCCCCTTTCCCACACATGAAGCCGAGGCTGTGTGTCCTTGTGTCAAGAATAGCTCAAATGTTATTAAAAATAAAAAATTTAGTTAAGTATTGTAAAATAATTTTAAAATTAAAATTATCATAATATATGTAGTACAAATCTATAAGAGATCTCATCTTGGAAATAAAGTAGAATATACTTCAAAGCAAAAGAAGGCTGGGTCAGGGACTGTTACCACGTTTCACACATGAGCTACCTGACAATAAAAGGTAAGGTAACTTGCTTATGACTGAGTTCCTAAGTGACAAGCCGATTTTTGAACTAAAATCTGACTCCCAAGTCTGTTCTTTTTTTTTTTCTTACCACGCAGCTTCCCACAGAAATATCTTGTTTGGCATCTACTTATTGAGCACCCACCCATACAGCTCTTTGGCATTCAAATGTTTGTTGAGTAAAGGGAATAGAGCACTAGATTGTGTCCAGCTGCCTGTTATTAATAAATGCCTTATTTTCCGTCTCTTCCTTGTTACTAATTGGATTCATCGAGAGCTCATGGACCGGTGTTAGTTTCCTCAGCCATATTATCTTCCTGGTCCCCTTCTACGATTCTTTACAGTATGCTGTATATGGAGATTAAATTAAACATCCCGAGTGCGGGGAAGGATAAGTGGGGGAAAATAATAGGCGCTAAGGTTGTTCAAGTTTGAAGCCAGATTGTGACCCTAAAGGTAAGTTTAGACTTGGGCAAACCATTCGAGTTTTTAAAAAGAGCACAATAAAAATAAAGTTTCAAAAAATGATGCCGGCAAAAATTTCCTTTAAAAATTTCTCACCAAGTTCACTGGCACGGCACTAACAGCGCGGAGGGTGAAGTATAAGATTTCTTAAGGACTCACCCAAAGCTGTGTTGCTGTTGTAGTTTTGGAGGAGTGACTTTTTGGAAACGGAATTCAAATGAAAGCAAACATCCACTTATCAGATAATCATTCAGCAAACGTTTATGAAGCGACAAACATGCCCAATAGCTCATTCGTACTGCTCTTCCTCCCCGGACTCGGGAACCTTGGCACCGGAAAGCAGTCCAGGGAAGGCGCCGTTTAGTCCAACCGGCGCAGATAGGACGGCTCGACGGCCGAGCCCGCCCCCGGAAGTCCTCGGAGGGGGCGGGGCCACGGCGAGCGCGCGCTTTCCGGCGGCGGCTTACGGAGGCTTTATGTGCGCTCGCGTCCGGGGAGGGCGTGAGCGGCTTTCAGGCAATCCCTGGGTACCGTCTGTCCCCGCCCCGAAGCCGCCAGCTCAGGCTGAGGTCCCGCTGCGTTTTCCCTTCGCCGCCTGCTCGCCGCGCCGCCCAGTCAGGGCGTCTCCTCCCCCGGGCCCTGAGTCCGCTCTCCTCACCCCCTGCCGGCGGCAGCGCCGCAGTCTCCCTTCCAGGGGGCCGTTTCCCGGAGCCCATCGGCCCGGCCTGAGGAGCCAGAAGGCACGAGAGCCCCGTCCCGGGCGTCGCTGCACCGCTTCTCTGGCGCGCTTTGTTGGACCCCCGCGGAGGCCGCGTTCGGTGAAGCGGCTGTCGGCCCTGTTTGCTGACAAACCGTGGAAACCACAGCCCCTGCCGCCCTGCCGCCGAGTGATACAAAGAGTGTGGTGGCCTGGAGACAAGGTTTTGGGGACAAACGCGCTTTTGTGAACGCTTCGACTTTCTCTTACCGTCTTCGCTTGCTGCTTTTAAAGTGTTACTACTTCTTGGCAAGATACACATTCCAGAAATAGTTTGAAAGTATTTTTGAATTCTGTTCCTCTCATGGAGAGGGATTAAATTTGGACCTTGTGACCTACACTGCAGTCATCAATCCCATTAAGCTCTTAATAGGCTCATTATAACGTCGACTACAAACAATAGAGTATCATAAAATCCTTAGAAGAAACGATTGGTCAGTGTGGAGTCGCAAGATGTCAAAAGAATGAAGATCGCCCTTTAATACTTAAGGATCTCAAAAAGGATTAAACAAAACAAAAAATACTTAAGGCTCTATCTAGTTCATACTTAGACTTGGAATTTGGAGCTGTTTGGGAAGACGGTGGGCTGTTTTTCCTTCATTACAAAACAAAAACAGACTTTTCCTTTTATTCCATGAAAATGTACTTTAGCTTTTTGTTTATTTTGAAGCAATTCTGGTGCATTTATGAAAATCAGGGAAATGCAACATAGCAAAAGAAAACGCAAACCACTCAGTTCCATTACCCAAACTGAACCAACGTTCATATATTGGCTTATTGGGGCTCTTTTTTATATGAAGTATTAAATTTTCTTGTACTCGTGTAGAATGTGATAGTTTGCCTTTTCATGTAACGTGTGCTCAACTCTTACAAAATACTAGTCTTAGTAAACATTTTTATAACAGCGCTCTATCCCTTTCGCTTGTTACTGGATGTCTAGGTCTTCAATTTTGCACTACTGTAAGTAATTGTCATGAGGCAATAGCTAGAATAGTATTAAGAACATGAGCATTCAAGTCAGATAGACATGGGCTTTATCACTGTGTAACTTGGAACAATTTATATAACTTCTGAGCCTCACTTTACACATCAGTAACATGAAGATAATAGTTCTCATCACATACGATTATTACGAAAGTTAAGTGAGTGAAAGAGCCTGGAGCATATTTTAGTAAATGCCAGCTATGACTATAGGCAAGCTTTTATTCGTTTCTTTTTTTTTGTTATGATTTTTTTTTGTGACGCATATAATTTATTTTCAGATTTTGTATGTATTTAAATAATAGTACCACACTGGGTATGAGGGGTTTGACACACAGCTTTTCATGTATTTTATTATATAAGTAAAACATGAATTACAAATAATTTTTTGTAATAAGAAAAAAATTAAAATTGCCTGTAATTCTACTACTTATAAGTAATTATGATTTACATTTTGGGCTGTCCTTTCTCATTTTTAAAAAATATATATGTGATTTTAAAAAAATAAGATTATATTATAAATTCGGTTTAGTAACTGGCTAAGCACAGCAAAGAGGCCAGTATGACTAGTGTAGGATGATTAAGGCAGTAGGAAATAAAGCTTGTCGGATTTGTATTTCATTAAAAATTTACTGGGCAGAGTAAGTTGAGAACTAACTTGATTTTATTTGTTTTTGGAAGTTCGCTTGACTGCTATATGGAGATAGACTGCAGGGGGCCAAAGGAGGCAAGATGGAATCCAATCAGGATGCTTTTTCAGTAATTTGGGTGAGAGATGGTGGTTGCTTAGATCTGGATGTAAATAAGTAAAAGTGATTGGGTTCTGGATGTTTTGAAGTGAGAGGTTATAGGATTCACTGATTGATTGGATGTGGGGTGTGAGAGAAAGCAGCTTAAAGGCTTTTAGCTTGAGCCTTTGGATGGATGCAGTTTCCACTTACAGGTAGAGACTCAAAGAGGAGCAGATTT